ATATGCAAAAGCATAACTCACGTGTACATGTAAAATTAGATAAAAACTACACAATAAGATGCATCCTTCACAATTTTTCTACATTTAGCACTTCAATTCTTCTATTTCGATTCAGTGCAGGGGAATCAGGAATCATTACATTCAACTTTCTTATATATATATATATATATATATATATGTATATATATTATAAATCTAAATTAATTTAGTACATAATTTCATTGTTTAATTCTCTTTCAACTTTAGCAAATTAAACTTATTTATTCACGACTACATAATTTAAGTATTTTTACAATTTATTTTTATTTTTTCCAGTGAACACCATTCGCTTGTATTTTTCTAAAAAATATTATTTTAACATATGTATTTTAATATATAATTTCCAATTTCCTCCACCCCTATTATTTCACTACGCTTTCCTCTAATCTCTTGATGGATCACAGAATTACATCACACGAACATGAGTAAACTTTTAATGTTAAGTTTAACTTTCAATGAAAGCATAAATAATATAATCAAAAAAAAAATAAAAAATAAAAAAAAAATCAATTGTTTATAACAAATTTCTAAAAGAACTTAAATGTTATTAATTATTCATTAATAAATATTTGAAGAAAAGCATATAAGTTTATGAGTACAGCGGCTTAGAGCAACATTTATATTCCAGCCTTTGTCTAAGTATCGAAATATTTGTAATCTTTAAAATCCAAGATGTACTATATATATACATAACACCAAAGAGAGTTTCTATAACTATTACAATGAACTAAATCTGCTTTATATTAATATATTTCACCTGACTCATTTACTCTCCGACCTAACACAAATATAGCAACATTGTTGACATGTCCATTCGATTTATAGTCGAATGGAGCTTCCTTTAAACGAATCTCATTCTAGGAATAAGTATGTACGTCACAGTCATTGGTGACTGGAGTTTCGTAATTTTCAAAAAAAAAAAAATTAATAAATAATTAGGTAAATGTTATAATTAAACATTGTTTATTGATAACAGAAAACACTGTTGCCCCCAAATAATGGCTTGATAACTTTAAAGAGACTTTGCACATGGGATAATAATTATTATTGACTGGTATACTGAATTAAAATACGATCGTGCAAATACCGATGATGTTAGAGCTTCTAGTTGCCTAAAATCGGTAATTGTTCCTTAGAATATAAGAAGTCCACAAAATAGTTTTTGAAGATTATTGAGTGAAGCTGTATGGGATAACTGACACTTTAAAGACACATTTGGAGTGTTTGCATTTATATACGAAGATTTGATGGATTTTGATATGGGTCCCACGTTTACTTACATTGGATTAAAAACAATAATCCATTGGTCAATGGGTAACCATGTTAAAATTAAATGAATTACGATTTAAATTACTTCTACACCCATCGTATCCTCCAGAGCTGTCTCTTAACGAGTACTGGTTTGCGACAGAAATTAAAAACAACCTTCAAGGAAAGAAATTTGACTTATATGAAGAAGTGATTGATAGCCAGAATGGTGGCCTATTTTGAGAGCAAAAACAAGGCCTTCTACTAAAAAGCCATTAAAAAGCTAGAAGAACATTAAAATGAGCGTATTTCTCTTAAAGAAAATTATTTCTAAGAAAAAAATTTCATTCTTACCTATACTGGTGCCACACTGAGTGATATATTATATACAATAACATTGTTTTTCAAAAAATGAAAATGAAATGTACTGAATCTTAGATAAAGAAAAACTAAAAAGTACAGATTGGAATGAATAATTTTTATATTTTCATAGATTCTAATAAAAGTGATAAAAAGTGGGAAAAAAAATCAATTTTCGTTTTGTTTAAAAATTTAGAAAGTCTTATATTTAAGAATTCCTCAAAAATAAAAAAACACTGAATCAAATAAAAAACTAGAATATAATAGAATAAAAAAGTATAAACTAAGATTTGTTAAAGAAATTTCCGTTAGGCTGAAAAATTGTTTTAAATATTCCACAAAATCCTCTGCATTAAATTACAATGGGTTTAGAACCGGCGGGGTTATCATAAGAAGACGTGTGCCAGAATCCCAAATTTTAACAACAAAATTAATGTGTTATATTGACTACGTGTGTCGACATGTGAATCTGAATTCAAATTTGACAGAATTTGGTAGCTAGCATCTAGCATTGGTATCTAGGTATCTTACACTCCAAACAGTGAATACTTCTAAAGTCCAAAGATGATGAATATTTCGCAATACACGAAACAGCTATGTGCCAGCCAATATATTTGAGATAATTCTGTCAATTTATGTCAAAAAATCAATAATAATAAGAATATTAATAGAAAGAGATGCTAACTAACCGATTTTGTTGAGCGATTTGTTTTTTCGATACTAGAATTTATTAAGGAAATCGGATTTAGAGCATTATTCTGCATTTTAGAGAGTGACACAGTAGATTTCTAGAGCATAGTACAAAATCCCCCACTTAATAACATTTAATTCAAAATATAGGTATATAATGAGATAAATAATCAATGCAAAACATAAAAGAATAAATTTACTAAATAAAGTAATTTTAACTAAAAATCGTAAAAATGATGGAAAATGAATGAGTTGAAAGTAATATGTGAACTGTTTTGGACTCTATTTTCGTAAATCATTTAAATTTGAAATTGTTATTTCAAAGGAGCTTAATTAATAAATGGCAGAGCATATTTCGAAAACATATTCGAGAAAAAAGAATATAGAAAAATCTGGAGTTATCAAATGAAATGTAATATTATAAATATACATAATTCTATTTATCTTAAGCGACTGCATATAATAGTATCTAAAGCAGAAGTTGAAGGCTTCTTTTAAATTGAAGCCTTCCAACCTTGGGTACTCATACATATTTGCTACTGTCTAGTTTCAAATTCGTCTGGGGTCAAATAAGTATCTCAAGTACTCGTACATCTCTCATAATTCGATTTAAAAAACATATCAAAACAGTTCTTGAGTATGCAACAGTTCTATATAAGTGATAAATTAATAAATTTTAAAATAAAAAAAAATAAGAAAGAAAAATAAAACAATAAAAAGTAAGGATATTATTTTTATTAAAATAAAATTCTGAAATTAATACTTTAAATATTTTTAACTTAAAACAATTATAAACAAAAAATTAAACATACAATTAACATGCTGACTTTATAATTTAATTAAAGAAAATATATTCTCATATATCTCAATAATTTTTTTTTTGTTATAATTTTACAGATTTTTTCAGAACCAAACTGTAAAATCATATTTTTTGTAAAAAAATTGGAATAACGTAATCTCTTATTATTTCAGTTTTTTTTTTGTTTTTTTTTAGAAGAACTAAGATAAAGTGAGTTGAAAGAAGAAGAAATGAAAACATTAAATCTGCAAATTTGAATTTTTTAAAAAACTATTTTAATAAATTTATGCATATGTAAAAAATAAAAAAATGTAAGTAATTTTTAGTTCAAAAAATAAATGATAAATTTTGAATAATTTTTAATTTTACTTTAATTTATTTAAATCAATATCTTAATTTTTTTGAATGAGTCGGGGGTACAACAGAATTACAGTTTACTATACTTCAGTTCTTCTTTTTTTCTTTCACTTATATATGTAATTTCCAAAGTCATTTCTTTACAGCAAATTAAAATAATACTTCATTTTGTTAATTAAATTCAATTGTTTAGCCGACATTTGAACTAAAAAAAAAATAAAAAAACTTTACATTTTCCACATTAATAAAAAATTTTAGAAATTCCGAAAATCGTATTTCTTTTGAGTAAAATTACAGTTTTTTTTCAAATGAATTTCGATTCAATAAAATTATTTTATATAGAATTTTGATTTCCGAAGGAAGATAATATTTTAGCTGGAGAGATAAAAATTTATGTTTTATAAAATCTTAAAAATTATTTTAAATCAACTTTTCATTATAAAAAAAATTATATTTAAACTTAAAATAATTTGTTTGATGTTCAATCTTAATAATTAATTTTATACATTCTATCAGTATTTTTTTTTTTGTTTTGCATTCTGTACTTTTGTCATTATTAAAAATCTATTAATTGTTTATTTATTTTCTGGTTTTCACATATTTTTTCTGTTTTGTGTTTGGCAGTGATGTTGCTATACGAAATTATATTCAAGGACTTAATGGTGCAATTAATATTTAATAAAACTCTGCAGAACACAATATGCATTTTTAAGTAAAATGTGATTTTCTTTAAAACTTAACTAAAAACAAATATTCACTTTGGTGATATCAACTTATAAAAATTATTATTTTTAATTATTTACTTTAATATGATTTCAATTCCTTGCAAGCAAATTGCAGAGAGACAAGCGCTTATCGTTTTCAAATGTTATTTACAGATCGCACACTGTGCGATCTTACATTGGCAATGTTTCTGTTACTTGCATATGTTAACTCTTTTCAGTTCTGTTAATGCAATTGCCTTACGGCTCAGTTACTCGTTACGTACCGTAAGAACTGCAATCAAAGCGAAATGCATAACCAAACACAACACAGGTGTGGTTGGTTATGCATTTCACTTTGGCTTAAGTTCGCTTAAGTTCTTGCGGTACGTACCACTAACTGAACCTTTACATGTAAGCAACATTAGCGAAAATTTGCAAAATGAATTGTTGTTTTTGCTTTAAATTTAAATTTTATTTATTTTTTATATATAAAATATCTAACCAAAACAGTTATTGTGAGGAAAATATACTAAACTTTTGGCGCGCAATTTAAATTTCTGTATTAGCGCATGTTTCTTTGCAACTTATTTACAAGCGAATTCGACGATTTAGTGACAAAAAGAAAAATTTCTTTTATAAATACAAAAGTTATTAAAACTAGCAACAATAATAAACATTCTCTTAATAAAATAAAGATAACTCAACATAAAAAGCTTCAAATATCAAACTTTTAAGATAATTGCAATAATCTTTTGAATTATAATTTTCATTTCTTTTCAAAATTGTTAATATATTTTCATGAAAATAGGATAATTAAATTTAATCTGTTTGTATGTGTGATGATGGCACAATATATCTTCTTATTCTCCTTCTTCAGTATATACTTAGCTATAGATTTGCACTTTAAAAAAGGTTTTACTACTTGTTGGACGCCTGCCGTCAAACGTTACCAAAGTATTCCATCGAACGATTCATCTGTACGATTATGTGTTTACATGTGGCGTTTCATGTGTAACGCCAAATGATCCGAACGTGAGAAGCAGCGATCACAATTGCGGCATTTGAACGGCTTAGCTCCGGTATGTTTGCGGAAATGACGCGTCAACTCATCGCTACGTGCAAAACGCCATTCGCAACCTTCCCAAGAACATTTGTACGGTTTTTCACCTGAAAACATATGAAAATAAATTATTAATTATAATGTTTGGAAATAACATTTCTTATAAATTAATTATTTGAAAGTGTCATACACTTATAAGAAAAAAAATGTTGGTTTTTAAATGACACATATTTAGTAGAAAACTGTTTTGGTTCTATTATGAGAATTATTTACATATAAAAGAATTGCAACACACTTTGTTAGGTTAGGTTAGGTCATACCGGCGATCCCTAGTAGATACACTGAGGCCTATTGGCCTAAGTGTTGCCGTGTATGTAGGAAAAGTCAGAGTTTAAAACCACCTGGAACCTTTGGCAAAGCCTCAAATGATATTGAGTGTCAGGTCTTGTACTTGATCCAGATCCTTAAGAAATGGAGCACCTGTAGTGATAAGTCGCCGCCGTGCATGATCTGAGCAAAAACATAGTAGATGAGAGGCACTCTCATCGTCTTCCCCACAGCTGCGAAAGGTTTGATTGAAAGGGAGAACTAATCTTCGAGCATGGTTCCCTGGTTTACAGTGACCTGTAAGTAAACCTACCAAAAAACTGATATCTCTACGGTATATCTCATCGAAAATTTTAATCATAGAGAGTATTATTTATGAAATTGTGAGGCAGCTATATGTCTACGCCCAGATTAACATAACTTTTGGAACCTACATTTAGAATACCAAAATCTCAAACCTAAAAATTGCATAGTCATTTTTTAAATCTACACTTTTAGTAAATAAGATACAAATTTATCGAGGGACACTAAGCAAATGATAGAAGTATGAAAACGATCGCATTCAAGAGTAGACCAGAAGATATTATGTTAAAAGACTTTGCTTCCATGTTTTTGGTTACCATGACATCATAGCATATGAGGTTATTAAATAATCAGAACTTTTACGTCCTCTAGAAAAAAAATCCAAGATATTAAACAAATAAAAAATTAGCCACATTGAAAATGAGAGATAATAAAATTTTTATCGTAAAATGATATATATATAAATATCAAAACTCTATTTTTTTATTTAAATTGAATATTTTCATCTCATAAAGAAATAAAGCAATAATTACTATTGCTTCAACCTCTTTCAATTTACATGGATTTCTGGACATCTCGGGGAATTGTAGCGCGGACGAGCTTGCCAAGCCTGGCATTCTGCTCCTTGACACATACTTCTCAGATATTGAGATCCCACTTACAACAGCAAAGCTAGTAATGAGACAAAAATATCAAAGCTTTGCCAAACGAGATTGAGCAAAGAGTTCTTGTCCGATATCTAGATTGATCTGGTGTAAACTAGTTGATTCAGTCAGTTGATTCAATTAAAGCGTAACCTGATTAGTACTACAGTATCAGTGTAGTCGTCTCAATGTGTAACAGGAAGACATGTTATGAAACTGGGTCTACCTTTAATTGACTTTTGTCGAGGTTGTAGCTCTGAAAATGAGAATGATTACTCTGAGATTAGATAGTGCTAAGTAGGGCAGCCTATCGGTTTTCGCATATAGCTTCAGAACTCTGCCTCTTATGTATTTTTTGACTGAATCTATTCTAAGGTCTCTTAGCATGTCATTCGTGCGGATGTACCATGGTACTTTAAAGGGCCTTCGGTGAGTTTGACTTTAAGCAACTTGTAGCTTTTGGATAGCTTTGCTATACGCAGTTAATTCAAACGATTTAGGTTTAAATATATTCGAATCAGTAATTATTGATCTGTGATTTAAGCTGGAAAGCTTTTGGCGGTAATTGTAGAGCGTTATGAAGTTTCGGTAAAGCAAAAGTAAACTTATTTTTTACGGATATTTCAAAATATCCAAATATTAATAATTAATATTAATATATATTCAAAGTTTCAAATATTAATATGTCCAAAATATTAGTTATTTGAACATTTATTATTTGCTTGCATTATATAGTTATATAGTTCTCACTTGCTTATAGTCTGCATCAATGAGTTTTGGCCTCAACATTATTTTTAGTAACCAATATATTATTTTCCCATTTTCGGATTTTTTTATTGATGTTTAGATATTTATTTTTACAAATAACTGTAGCTCTAAAATTGAAAGAATTTAGGTGGGATTTGAAAAATTTTTTTAAGGATGAAATAATAAATAAGGTCATGGAATGGAACCAAACAAATGGAAATCTATCAAAATGAATGGACAATTAAAAATTTTAGGTATATAGCAAAATTTATTATTTTTCTCTTTTATGGAAGAGATCTTTTTAATCATTTTAACCATTAATTTAAAAATAATTAATAGCAATAATAATAAAATTATTATTGGTCATTAAAAGCAGTTGCCGAATTTCGCACTCAACGAATAAATATCGTTTCCGTTACTTTAACTGATTTGGTGTTGAGTTTAAATTTTGTGGACGTTTGTCGTGACCACCAAGAGAAGGAAACTAGCACTAAAATTAAAAATTGGGTTAAATTTGATCTGGAAATCATATTCTTACTTTTGGCACCAAGCACACTGAGAAATTGGTGTTAACGTGGTTTTAAACATTTGCAAAATTTGGCGAGTGAAATAAAATAATGTAGAATATAGTATAGTGTCCCCTCAAATATGTGGACTGGAATCTAATGGAATGGCAATAAAATCGCTACCAGACATTCGCATAAAAATGGCGACAACATTCAACAAAAAAGCCATTCATTCCAAATGGTTTTATGGCAACAACGTGCGCTTATTTTCTTGGCAGCACACGAATCGAAGTGAAAACTCCTCAAGATTTGGAAAGTGTACACGAGGAAGAGGAAGAAAATGATATTACAAAATATTGCTTAGTAATAGTTTCTTATTTTTTGCTGAAATTCAACTAATAGTCAAACGCCTGTTGTTGTTGTTGTTGTTGTGGTTGTTGGCTTTTTAAAGTGTAAACATGCCTGCAGTTTATTGCCCAAATCGATAATAAAACTTCTACGGTATCATGCAGCTCTGGAAGAGATTGCTTGCGCCTGTTAGTCGAGGCCACATTTCAAAGTTCGATTGTCACATGTGCAAGCCACAGAAGTTCTATTTTTATTTGCAATTCCTAAAATACAGCCAGCGTCTATACAGTCTATAGATGATGTCCTATTAAATTTTCTTTGTTTCAGCAACGCAATTTCAGACTTTTTTCATACAAATTTTACGGTCTGTTTGCTTCCTTTCACTTCACTGAGCTTCTTAACTTTCCTACATTTTATGACTCGGTTTTGTCATTTCTGCACCAAAACTCCGGTCAGCGCTTAACTAATTGAAATTATAAAAAGTTTGGTGTGCACAAAATTACAAAAATCGATAAAAAATCAGGCTCAAAAGTCATGTGGAAAAATCCTTGGGCAATAACTTAAATGTGGTCAAAGCCAAAGCCATTCGCTTTAAGTTTTATTAGAAAAATTCAATTACATTTTTATATCAGAAACGTAACTAATATTGTATTTGCTTCGAGCGATAAAAGAGTTTTGGCCCAAATCTTAGTCAAGCGAAATATAAAAATTTCCAATAATAAAAAATCGTAAAGAAAAAATTAATCAAATCGAGAATTGTATGGACTTCGGTACATACAAATCATTAGAAATGTATTACTTCCTTAATGTGCGACAATGGAACAGATATAAAGGCATGAAAGGTAATTAGTACCATTTATCATTATTTAATTCATTAAGTGATATTTCCAACATTAGTTCTAGCATGTCTAACTTTATAACCACAATAACGAGGAATGTGCAATGGAGTCAAAACGAAGAAAACCGTTTTGGATGAAAGGTAATGGAGTATGATTTGATTCTTCTTTCACTTCACCTACTTAACTAACATTTATCATCACTTAACTTCATCACATAATTGTTATTAAGCAAATTTATTAAGTATGCAAATTTATAATATATGGAGCAATTATTATTCAAAAATTAAATTTTAATATGACAATCTATAAATTTTCTAAAACACATTTATAACTTATGAGCATATACATTTGAAAGTGTTGGAAGTTAATATAATCTTGAAATCTATGAAGCATATGAAGTAATCTATTGAAACCAGTAATAGATATAAAGCATAATACATTATAAGTAATGCATAGACAAATAGTCGTTCCATTGTTCTGAACAATAATACTTCTAAACAATTATTAAATGGAAGAATTCATTAAAATCTTCGAAAAAAATGTCAAATGCATAAGCATTCGTTTAAGTTATATCGGATTAAGGTGTTCTGTATATATTTCAACCACAATGCATGCATAAGTAGATTTATATTTACACTAAGGATGATAATTTTAGCATTGATTCTGTATAATGAAGATCCAGAATTTAATGTGAATATCTGCTGCTCAGCTCAATATCACGGTGTTCTTCACACACGCATCGGTATATTGCGCAGTTGAACGTCCCATTGAAACTCCGAAGAATTTCGCTGTTATCAGTTGAAGTTTTGTGTTTGGGCAAAACTTCCTCCTTGGTGAGGACCGAGGCCTATCTAACAACTCTGCTGATCTTTAGGTCATAGCACCTGGTTGGAAAATGCAACTCTACATCGAATAAGTGTAAAAAAATAGAATCGTTCTACCCGCATTTGGGTTTTAATCACAACCACCACGACACTACCTTTATCTCTTTGTGGAATATTAAATTTATTTATTTTAATCTGCTAAGTCTAAGTATTATATAAAAAGTCGGTGAAAGGTATTTTGTAAATATTTTTAAAGACTTAGATTTTGTTAATAGCTTCATTCATTTTTCAATTTCGGCTTAATAGCTTAAAATAGTGACAATATATATTTTTTATATAGCCTATATATGTGAAGATAACGAACTTCAATTATATATTAATACAAGGTAAATGGTAGACAGTGCGTGATAATCAACCTGTGCATGTTCTTCAACTTCAGGGGTAGTTGGTAGATACACACGATCATCACCTACAAAGTTAAGCCGTTAATATAATAAGACAAATATAGCGCATTACGATATCATCCGATCCTAGAAGATTTTCTAAAACTTAACCCTTATTAAACCATT